TCCCTCTGGCTCTCCTCCCTCTCATGCTCTCTGTCTCTCATTCTCTCCGTCTCAAATAAATAAATAAAATCTTTAAAAAAAAAAAAAAGAACTAATGATGTAATGTATGGTGATTAACATAACATAATAAAAAATAAATAAATAAAAATATTTAGAAAAAAAGAAACTGTGTTCCTCGATGAGGTACAAAATCTCATGTGATTGCACTCAGGTATAAGGAAATTCTGGAGGTAAAGGAAGGTGTAAGAATCAGCTTTGGGTAGATTGTGCAATAAGGGTGATATTGAGGTAGAGGGCTACATCTCATTTTATAGTCATTAAGCGGTTGGTATAGAAAACATTCTATAGCCAAATCTGATAACTCTTAGATTCTGTAACTTCTTTCTGATCAGGAATAGGCAGAGATATGGGAAAACATGGATAAAGAGCTATGCAGGCAAAACTGAGTCACAGGCACCGTATATCTTCATTATGAATGAGGGCAATAAAAGTTATTTTTGCAAAGTTATTATTTTTTCACAAGGGCTACCTTTGTACTCATTATTGTGATTATTATATACAATGAATATTTGGTTCTAAGAAACAAAAGGAACTGCTGATGAAAAGAATGTGTACATGCTTGTTGAGCTGCTTAATAAATAACTATTTGATGATGATTCTGCAGTGTGTTTAAAGGGTAATTCTTCTTCTGTTGCTTTAGAGAATTCATTTGGCATTCTAAAAATGGATGTAATTTCAAGCAGTGGCCAAAATATATCAATTAGCCTGACATCTAGGTCTTTTTAACAGATCTATAAATTTCTAATTTCCTTTGCCATCTTAACCATGGTAAATCATCCTGAACAAGATCATTCTTTTGAACAACAGCCTCCTTATTGACTGAGATCAATTGAGATTAGAAAATGAAAAATACACTAGATGCTGAGAACTCTTTATCAAACCACAGTTGTAGGATGAGTATTGAATGAAGATAAATGTGTTATTTTCAGCTTCTACATCATTGGTTTAAAAATTTATTCTCTATATCCCATTGCTGGATTAAACACTAATATATATTTGGATGGTTTACTTGCTTACAAGAATTATCTTTTCCCTATTGAGGTTATGTATTAATTGAAGGGAATGATTTTTAATTCAAATGTATCTTGCTTTGCACACCACATGCATTTCTACACATTAAATTGGTTAAAACTGATTTTTTATTGAATTATAAATTAATGACTAAATCCTTTGTTTTAATTTCTGATTGATTTTCATTTGCTCTTTGGATAAAATACATGATGCTTCATCCATCATGTGGCCCCTATGTGATCAGGACTCTGCCTACCTTTAAAGGCAATCTTACAGCACTGTCCTCTTCTGTCTCCAAACCCCAGCTACCCTGGCCTTCTTTCAAATCCTAATATTTCACACTCAAGATATTTGCACATATTGTCTAAAATTTTAGTTCTTTAGCCCTGCCTGCTTTATTACTTTCTTAATTAATTAATTGCCTGTCTTCTCCTAATTCGAAAGTAGACTCCAAAAAATACATGGCTTTTAGTCTTTCTTTTTCACTGCTGAATCTCTAGCATCTAGAATTGTGTTGGGTATATAGTATGCACTCAGAAAAAATGATGAATGAATGAATGATTCCTTATCCTGGAATACCAACTTTCCTTCTCTACATCTAGGAAACTTCTATTCATCATCCACATTCCAGCTTAAATGTCACTTCTTCAGGCCACCTTTTTAAAAAATTTATTTTATCATGTTTAGTTAGCCAAAATATAGTGCATCATTAGTTTAGAACTAACAATTCATTAGTTGAGTGTAACGCTCAGTGCTCATCACAGCACGTGCCCTCCTTAATACCCATCACCTGGTTACCCCATCCTCCCACCCACCTTCCCTTCTGTAACCCTCAGTTTCCCAGAGTCCAGAGTCTCTCATGGTTTGTCTCCCTCTTTGATTTCTTCCCATTCAGTTTTCCCTCCCTTCCCCTGTTGTCCCCCGAGCTATGCCTTATGTTCCACATGAGTGAAACCATATGATAATTGTCTTTCTCTCCTTGACTTATTTCACTTAGCATAATTCCCTCCAGTTCCATCCATGTCAGTGCAAATGGTAGGTATTCATCCTTTTTGATGGCTGAGTAATATTCCATTGCATATATGAACCACATCTTCTTTATCCATTCATCTGTTGAAGGACATCTTGACTCCTTCCACAGTTTGGCTCTTGTGGATCCCTAAGACAAGATCAGCTTTCTTTATTATTCGTTCTTACAGTTCCTGTATTTCTAAGTTCTCCATAGAACTTATTAGAATTTTAGCTTATAAAGTGTACTTTTTGTGAGATAATTTGCTTAACTCCTATCTTCTCCCCTAAACTATAAAATATCTCTTTTTCTTTAAAAAAAAAGATTTTATTTATTTATTTGAGAGAGAGAGAGAGAAAGCACAAGAGCATGGTGAGGGGTAGAGGGAGAAGCAGACTCCCTGTTTAGCAGGGATCCCAGGACCCTGGGATCATGACCTGAGCTGAAGGCAGCCGCTTAACCAACTGAGCCACCCAGGTGCCCCTCTATCTTGTTCTTAATAGTCTTTCCAACATCTAACATAATGCCTGGAACAAAGGGATGCTCAATGCTCAATAAATATCTGTTAAATGAAAACATGGAGGGAAGGATGAGTAAGCAACTCCTCATTATAACTTTCCACTTTTTCAATGTTCTCCCAACAAAAAGCAGTTGTTAGTGAACTACAAAAGAATATTTTGCTATACTGGAGAAGTTCTTTTCAAATATACCCCTCAGTGAATTCAATAATGCTTGGAGGATCCCTTAGTGTTGATGCATCATACCAGCCTCTTCATCCCCCATTTTATTTAATTAAGTAAGTACTTAATGGGTTTCTCCTCTGGACCAAGCCACATAGAAGGAAAGAAGATCATGTAAATAATGAGAAGACCATAAGCTTAAAATAGAAAGATCTCTTACCCTCTAACTGCCTGTGTGAGCTTGGCAAAGTTACCAGTTGAGCCTTTGGTTCCTTATCTGCCAAATAGAAATAGCAATATCTATTTCTTGTGGTTTATGTAGGGGTTATTAATGATCCATGTAGTGTGCCTGCCACATAGTAAGTGCTCAAAAGATGGCAGTTGTTACTACTATCACTAGAAGGTAAGCTCCTAGAAGGCAGATTATACTTGCATTTCTAGTACCTTATATATAGAATACTTTTAATAAAGATTGGTTAAACTAACCAGCAATGGGAACCATAGCAGAATATGTGCTCCTTCTGAACTCTCAAGAAAATAAGTTGCGAGACAGATTCATGAAATATTTAGATAATAATGAAATACAATACTTACTACAGTTTATGACACATATGAGATTATAGTAACATATGTGTCTCAGGCCATAAGCGCCTTACAAGGCCAGGCAGGAAATGATCAGAGGTGGTTGGCTAGAGTTATTGGGAAATGATAAGTTCACATGTTTGTGTGTGTAAGATCTCTACCAGTGAGCCTTTTGTGAAAATGTTCTATTTCTTTGTCAAAATTTGATGCTGGCTACACCAATGTTGGATAAAATGGATCAACCTGGGCGCCTGGGTGGCTCAGTTGGTTAAGCGACTGCCTTCGGCTCAGGTCATGATCCCAGGGTCCTGGGATCGAGCCCTGCGTCGGGCTTCCTGCTCAGCGGGGAGTCTGCTTCTCCCTCTGACCCTCCTCCCTCTCATGCTCTCTGTCTCTCATTCTCTCTCTCTCAAATAAATAAATAAAATCTTTAAAAAAAATGGATCAACCTGCTGCTTCTGTTTTACTATAATGGCAGACAAAATTGGGTTATTGATCGTGGGTATCACGGTGTCTTTGTTATAGTAATGGAGGCTTTGTTCCCCTTTAACAATCAGTGGTTAGCTAACATCACAAATAGGTTCTGATGATGTTGGGTAATGTTGCTCAAATAGGGGTGTATTATGTGGGAGTATCTACTAGCCCTTCAAAACTAGAACATAGGCTCCATTCCATATTCCATGTCTTTGTAGCATGCTCAGCACAGGTTTTCAGTTGTATTACAGCATCCATAATCATTATCTACTGCTGTCCTTTCATCTTACCAAACTCTCTGCCTGCAGCTCTAATAAACAGGACTGAGATAGTGAGCATGAACAGAATGTTTCTTTTTTCTAGGATGCTCTCTCCTTTTTGTTCTTAGGTGTCTTTGTGAAGATATTTACAAACACAAGGGCACTCCATTAAAGGTTTTTAACACACCAACATCCACACTGAAAGCTTCAGATGCTTAATTACAGAATTGAATGTAGCAATCACACTCAGTCCTGACATTAGGAAAAGAGAGGAATACCATCTTTCACCCACTTCAAGCCATGTGAGGATGATCTAGAATCGATCCATGCCAGCTGGCAGCCAGGCACACATCTACCTGCCCGGCGTCTACATCTGCAGAGACAAGCCCAGTCAGACCAGTTGCTCCTAGAGTAAACCGCTTGCCCACAGACCTGCTTCCGAGCGGCAGACAAATGGCCTGGAAGCCCTTGCCTCACACACAATATACACCTGCGCGAACATACCTGAATATTCTTATTCACGAGGACAGAGACCTGAATACAGAAACACTGAGCTCACACACACTCGCAAGCAAAAACACATGTGTGGAATCAAGTTTCGCTTGTTGTTTAATTTAATCTGGGTCGGTAAAGCACACTTTCAGGACGCAGAGGAGACCCCTGGGAAATTGGTTCGCTTTTCTCTGAGCCGTTCGCCAACTAGTCAGTCCTTCAACCCTGGGTGTGTCCTCAGTGTGGATCGAGCGGCAACTTAGTTGCAGTCTTGTCAGTCTTTTCGACTCTCTCTCTCCCCCTGCTCTCCTTTAACTCCCGGAGGGCCGGGTGGCGCCGGCCGGGACGCGCACCTCCGACTCCGGGGCCCTCCCCGCCCCCGCCGCGCCGAGGGCGGGGCCCAGCCGGCCGCCAGGAAATGCCCGGGAGTCTGTGTCACCTGCCCCCAAGACTTGTTGATTCCCAGGAGCGCTGCCTTTTAGTTCGGCCTCCCTCCCCTCCCCCCCCGGAGACCAGAGGACGATCTCGCTTACCTGCTACCCCGACGCGGCCCGGGGAGCTCCTGAGACGCTCCCGGGACCGCTCGCCCCTCACATCCACAGCCATGAGCAAGTTGGGCAAGCTCTTCAAAGGGGGAGGCTCTTCTAAAAGCCGAGCTGCTCCAAGCCCCCAGGAGGCCCTGGCCCGACTTCGGGAGACCGAGGAGATGCTGAGCAAGAAACAAGAGTACCTGGAAAATCGAATCCAGAGGGAACTCACCCTGGCCAAGAAGCACGGCACGCAGAATAAGCGAGGTAGGCTTGGGGTCTGGCCGCAGGAGTGAGCTCTCGCCCTTCTCCTCCAGCGCTTTCCTCGGGGACGATCCGGCCCACAGCACCTGTTCCCCAGGAGGCCAGATTTACTCCCACGGCCTTTCTTTATAGAGAATAGATGTAAACAGCGCAGTGACACGTATAAAAACCCAGGGAGACGTTGAAATGCTTTGGTCTTGTAACACTAGAAATAGAAGTGGTTTTGGAATGGCAGACTCAGAAATAGAAGCTGCAGTCCAGGACTCTGCCCACCACCTAACCCTGAACTCGCATCCACAAGTCAGGCTTCATTAGTCATCACAAAGCCCTGGGAAGATTTACTTAGCCCTAAATGACGCTGCCATTGTTTAATGCAGGAAAGGAATAATGTCTTCTGGAGCTGACCTCGAAAACCCTGCTGCTTCCCATAAAAAATGTGCCTGATACATTTGTGTCCACTTACCACCAACGATAAAAAGGCCAAGTTTCATTTTTCTCTGCCTCTGCTCTGCTCCGGCATGCTGGCCTGTTTTACAGTTAAATGCTGGTTTCTATTTTTACTTTCTGTCCGAAAATGTTTTGGGGAGCTATTTAATGGCAATTTCTAAAGAGATACCATGCCATTATGGCCTGCTAAAAAGTCATGGGCAGCTCGGCTTCCCTGTTCTTTCTCTTCAGTTTGATATGCACTCTGAAATTTGCATGTCTCTCAAGGGATGTCTGTCTGTCATCCTTTCGGGTCTGTATATTGCTTTATCTACAGTAAATACTGCTTTTAAAAAAATCTTAAAAATTGAACATCTGCTTCTAGGAAGTGGTGAAAATGTAGATTTGCTTTTGGAAGACAAAAATATAAGGTAATATACATTTTACTGATTTTTTTCAAAAATGTTCTTCAATTGGCAGTGCACTAAAGTATATATTACAAATTGGCTTTATTAAGACCCCCCAAAATTAAAGACAACATTAATTTAAGAACATCAGTCTAACTTCCTTAAATCAGAGAAGTAACAGATGCAGGTATCATGTGCAAATAACCAACTGAGGTTAGAAAAGCCACTTATTCTTTATCATTTATCCTTGGGAACTTCACTGCTGTTAGCCCAGGCCTGGTTCTACAGTGGTTCTGGGAGTAGAAAGAGGCTAGTTAGCATGAGTTCATCTGTATTCTAAGCTATGGAAAGAATTCATTTACAGGCCCATGTATTAGAAACCCTGTCAATATCAGCATTTTCCAAATAAATCAGATAACTTCATATACACATAGTTTCTGTTTTCCACTAGCTACCAAGGAATATTTTCTTTCACATTCATAGTGTTATCAGGCCCAATATAGTTAGTACAAAATGGGCCTTGTGTTATACAAGGCTATATATTATACAGGACTGTATATTGTGCTATAAGGGCTGTAATTTATAATCTGAGTGACATAATATATGTGCAGTTAAAGTTTTACTTTTAGACATGGTTGGTCAGCTAGCATGCTGCCAAGAATAGTAGGTTGACTGGTCAAGTAGCATTGTATCAGAAAGGGCCACACTCCTGGCCACTACAAATTCTTCAGTGATCTATTTTTCTACAGCAGAAGCTTTGACAGCATTCTGAATGTCAAAAATGGGTTTTATTGGTAAAGCAAGTAACTTCTAAATTAGCATAATAAATGTTAGAAATGAAATCTCATTGGTGAAATTACAGATATTCTAAATATGTGGATTGGCTAAAATAGTTTAGAGACACCTCCTTGCTTCCCATTGTAAGAACAGGTGATAAAAATCTACTAGGTGTATAACTAACTTAACATTAGAAGGGAAGGGTACCTGACCCTTGATCTTAGATCAGTGCCACGTCCAGTTCTTGGTTCAAGTGTATTTTTGACAGAGTGCACCTCCCACAGGGCTCAGCACCCTATCAGGGAATGTTGCTGCCTTCAGTGAGCCTTTCATATGGGGTGTATTGGAGCTCCCGAAAGGATGTCCAGTCAGGACTTCATTGAGCTAATGGAACAAGCTAACAAACTGTTTTTGCTTGCCAGTGTATGTTTGTTTATGCAGAATTTAGTCTGAAACTTGCTCTTATTGTATCTCATACCAAGTTGGGCAGGCATAGCTAATTCTTACCTTAAACTTCTTTGGTAGTTACCGTAATCTACCAAAAAGAACCTGAGTGTGCACCACCAAATTGGCTTTGCAACACGCATGATATTCAAGGCCCTGTTCATCTAAAAGATTAACACTTGGAATGAGATTCATAATTTGGTTAACAATTTTGGAGGTGGGGGGATGGGGTGACTGGGTGATGGGCATTAAGGAAGGCACTTGATGGAATGAGCACGGGGTATTATATGCAACCGATGAATCACTACATTCTATCTTTGAAACTAATAAAAAAATATTTCTAGTAGCCACATTAGAAAAAGAAGAAAGAAAAAAAAAATTGGAGGTCAGAGATTCTTTAAATGCAGTTTACATCGATTACCCTTCATTTATAACTGGTCCTCTGCTTTGTGGAAAAGCAAACTTTTTGCAAACCACTTAATCTTTTTCTTTTGAGCACTGTCATCAAGAGCAGTTTTCAGGGCGCCTGGGTGGTTCAGTCGTTACGCGTCTGCCTTCGGCTCAGGTCATGGTCCCAGGGTCCTGGGATCGAGCCCCGCATCGGGCTCCCTGCTCAGCGGGAAGTCTGTTTCTCCCTCTCCCACTCCCCCTGCTTGTGTTCCCTCTCTCACTGTGTCTGTCTCTGTCAAATAAATAAATAAAATCTTTAAAAAAAAAAAAAAGAGCAGTTTTCAATCCTGGCTGTATATTAAGTCACTCTGATGCCCAGGTCCCAACCCCATAGATTCCGATATAATTGACTGGGGTGGGGCTCAGGCACCAGTATTTTTTAAAAAGTGCCCCCAGGGAGTGCCTGGGTGGCTTACTCAGGTAAGCGTCTGACTTGGGTTTCCACTCAGGTCAAGATATTGGGGTCGTGGGATCCAGCCCCTCCTTGGGCTCCGTGCTTAGTGTGGAGTCTGCTTCAGATTCTTTCTCCCTCTCCCTCCCCCTCTGCTCCTCCCTGCTCACACATACTCTCTCTCTCTCAATCAATCAATCTTAAAAAAAAAAAAATGCCCCCAGGCGATTCTTCCCTGTGGCCAGGGTTAAGGATGAGGAACTTAAATCCATAGTAATGTTAACAAGTTAGGAATACATGGTCTTTTCGTCCTGAAGCGCTTCCTAACTTGTTTTCACATCATGGCATCTGTGGCGCTGATTTGTGTACTTCCCTGGGATAACCGGGGACTAGCAGCTGGGGGACCCTTGATACCCCGGGCGGAAGGAATCAGTACCTCACCGTACTGCAAACCCTTCCTGCCACACTGGTTTGGTGGAACACCTTAGAGGGGTCACTATTCTAGCCTCCCTTATGAGGTCTTTTTAAAAAATAACATCACTAAGAGATGGCCTTAGGTTATATTTTGCTTAAAAATAACGTCCTGATCCAGTTTTTACACACTTGATAGAAAGTAACTCAGTGTTGTAGTTGGGAACCTCAGCTTCAAAGCAGACAAGCCTGGGTTTGATTCCTAGCCCTGCCCTGTCACTTAGACATTGTGTGGCTTTAGACCGTTTACTAGGCCTAATTCTCAATTCCTTCATCTGCATAATTGTGAGGATAAGGTTGATCCTCAGAGTTGTTTGGATTAATGGAATTATTGTGTAAAGCTCTTAATTCAGTGCTCTCTAAGTGTCAGCCATTGTAATAACAGTAATTTTTTTTTCAGCTGAAATTGGCTTCCTACTAAGTTCCACTTACTGGTCTAAATTTTGTTGTCTTCTGGAATAACATAGAATAAATCTACTCCATCTGTCATGTGAAGACCCTTCACATATTTGAGGACGGCAGTCATTTCTCTGTATCTCCTGTTCTGTGACCTCAACTGCCTCTGGCACTTCTCATTTACCCCTTACTGTGCTGAGCTTTGCCTCCCAGGGCCCCGTCTGGGGGGGGGGCGAGAGAGACCCTTACTACACACTTGTGTGACCCTGAGAGTTAGTGTCCTCTTAAATTTCCATCCTAGGTGCCTCTGTTACTTACCTTGTCCTAGGCTGAGCAGGAACGTCAAATATGTAATTATGTGGAGAGGCTGGATCCAGTCTGGGTTACCCATAGGCCTCAGGCTGTAGGAAGTGGGCTCAGAGAGAGATGAAAGGTTGAGACTAGGAAGGAGTGAATTTGGCCACAACCCTCCTCAGTATCATTACACGTGATTCTGGTGAAACCTGGCAGCTGAGGCCCTTCCAACTCTTCATCAGGTAGCTGATGAATGAGACCCTAGGGCAGAGAGGCTTTTGAGTAAGCCAGCTCACTTTGAAGCCTGGGATCTTTTATTTTTATTTTTATTTTTATTTTTTAGCAAGGCTAAGTTTGTTTTCAGAGTCATGATGCAGACTTGGTCTTCCTTGGAGTTCGGGGTGTGAGCATGATCGCATTGTTTTAGCCTAGTGCACAAACCTCCTTGTGCTCTTAAGTTTGCTTTTTATTATAGTCATCATGGAGTTGAATTCTGCAGTCTCAGACACGGGATCAGGAGGACTTCTGTATAAAAAGAATCACATCTGTGTCAGCTGGGTATCAGCTTTGTTGCCAAAGTAGTCGGGGCAAAGCATGCATGGCTCAGGTAATAAGAGACTGATGCAGAGTGCAGAAGGCCCTGATGGATGGAAGCTCCCTTGGGAGATATCTCTTACCTGGTGACCTTCTTAAGAGAGTTTCTCAAAATGTGGCCCTCAGATCACCTGCATCAGAATTCCTTGAGGGTGTTTGTTAAAATGTGCATTCACAAGGACCCCCTCAAAGTTCTAACATAGTAGGTTGAGTGTAGGGTCCAGAAATCTGAACTTTGAACAGATAACGCAGTGATTCTGATGCCCACTAAAGATTGGGAACTGAGGAAGCATTTAGTATTTGGTGAGGTGCTAAACTGGAAACATCTACCCTCTACTGTTTTCTCCCCTCAC